TATCATTAGATCAAAAGCTCGATGATTGTATTTGATATAAGCATATTCTTATAAATATATATATATATATATATGTGCCGTTTAGGCATTTGGTGAGTATATTTAAAAAAAAAAAATCAATGATAAAGAAAGTTAAAGGATGGAGTAAATCAATGAGTTGGTGAATTTTGAACAGTACTAAGTGATCTTAGCTTTTAATCAATTTTTTTAATAATGTAATTTGGAGTCTTAAGTTTTCTCTAGACTTTCTTTTTTTTTTTTTAAATTAGCTTAAAGATACATTTTATCACATCTGTCCATGTATTTAATATTTTAATATTAAAATTTTTCTTACAAAAATTAAGCACCAATAGATAAAAAAAAAAGTTTTTTTACCAATTAAACTGAGTAACTGGTAGCAAATAACTTATCAATTTCAATCTTTAAAAAATAATTAAATATATAAAAATTATTTGATATATTTAATTCATAATAAAAATTAATAAAATAATACATTTTTATTTTTTAAGATATGCTAAAAATATACATCATTTTTTAAAATTTTATTTATAAAATTAAAAAATTAAATTATCAACATATTTAATAATTTTTCGTATATATATTTATATTGAACCGGGAGAAGATCCGAAAAGGAAAAAGATTTTAATTCCAACAAACGAGGCTAAATAGAGACTTTCAACAGGTAAAGTAATTCAGCGGTGATTCACTGTTGACGTTTACTTGGATCCAAGTTTCGAGGCGAAAAAAAAAAAAGGAGAATTTTGACTGACATTCCGTTCATGGCCGTTTCAACTTATATGAGGAGAATTATTGGATGGAGCTAACGGCGTTGAAGGGGTGAGCACGTGAGTGTTGCGCTTATTATTGACTGTCAACTGTCAAATCAACCGTCTCTCTCCTTGGAAGCTACCACGCTTTGCTGCAACGCTGGACGTCTGGTAGCGTCAGTGTTTTTCAATTTTAATTTTTTTAACAAACTTTATTTAATATTTATAAAATTTCAAATTATATCCACAAAATTATAATATTACCGCATACTCTTAAACTTCTTCATTTTAAGTCAAAACTAATGTACTTCACAAAAATCGTGCCATCGAAATTAATGGTTACTTGTTTAATTTGAGCTTTCTTATTACAATTAAATTTTTAATATTTTATGAACAAATCACATAATTATGAGTTAATTGAATTTAATGTTATTAAAATATGGAGATAATTCAAATTTAAATCATGTCTTTAAAAAATTATAATCTAAATTATGCAATTACCTTTTGTATTTATCTGTTTTGGACCATGCTAAGTAGTTCACAAGTACAAAATATTTGACAATATAAATTCAAATGTTTAATTGCAAATTTAATTCTATAAATGCCTAATCAAGTGGCATAATATAGGAGCCAAATATGCAATTAGTCCCAACAAAAATATGTCATTGCTAGGTTAACAATTAAACCAACTCTCTAATCAGTTTTTTAAATAGTAGTAGTAGTATTTATGAAATTTCATTGATTAATGTAGGTCAGCATAGTTATATAATTCTTTTAGATTATGTTTGATGTATATGATGATTAATAGGATAATATGATATTCACTTTATATTATATTTGATTTATATATAATTGAAAGAAATCTGATTACAAGGAGGATTATTATATCATCTTTATATAGGATAATTTAATCTTTTCAAAGTTGAAAAGATTATTTTTAAATCATGGAATTAAATTTATATATTTTATTATATCATTAAAAATTATATCAATAATTGAAATTATATAAATTTTGAATAAGGATAATTTTGATTAATAAATAAATTATTTTATCTTAATATTTACACATATAAAATATAAGTTATAATGACATTATTTAATCTAATTCTATTCATAATATTATCTTATCTTATTCTATCATAATCTTGTATATTAAATATGATTTTATTTATATTATTCGGTAAGTATTATTTTCAAAATTCAAATCTAAAAATTTTAAATTCAACTTTAAGACCCTTAATGACTTGAAATTCAAAATCATATTTATGTTAAAATTATCTCACCAACTAAACTTACTAACACATTTGATTTTGAATGTAATTAAGTCACATTTTCTAATGTCTCTCACATTTTTGTCATCAATTTAACAATTTAATTTTAAAAAATTCAAATATAAAACTTCTAACTGTTAGATTCCAAAATTCTTTAATTTTGAATTTGAATTTCATGTGTTATGATATAACCATAAGCCAATTAATTATTTAACCAACTACATTTACTATTAAACTCAACTTTGAATTGAATGATTTATAGTCTTCAAGTCACATTCTCTGATTATCTCTAATTGTTCTCTCCTTTCATAAACTTTACTAGTAATAATTTTCCTTTCAACATCCATATTTAAAACTTCTAAATTGAATTTCAAATTGCTTAAGCACTATTAAATTTCAGTTCCAAGTTGATGATAATATCTCAAAATCTTTTATCAAACTACAGCCACTAACAAAATTATAAATAGAATGATGAATTACAAGAATTTTATTTTTTTATCATAAATGATATCATAATTTAAATAAAAAATAAAATTAAAGGTGTTGGACTTTAATTTTAAATTAACTAAATATTAAATTTTTAAAATAATTATTTAATTTATTTATATATTTATAAATTAATGAATAATAGTGATTTTACATGTGGTTGTTGAAGAGTATTTTCAAATAATTTTAGAAGTACAAGTGAACTCGTGTGCACAATTTATTTAAGAGACATTTTTTTTTTAAAGAAAAAGTGAAGACGAAATAAAAAGAATTGACTAGAACCCTAATTTTGTTCTCAAATCTCAACTGTTGCCTTTTTCAATGATTTATTAGTGATTAATAACCAAACTTGTTGTATCAAAATTCAAATACAAGTCAAGTCAAATCAAGTGATGTATTATCTGACATTTTTGTTTGTTGTTCAAAGATCAACATCGATCTTATTATCTCATAGAAGAGTGCATAAAAAACCGTCCAAATTCAATTTATCATATAACAAAATCTAGCCATACAAAACTTGAAAATCCCAATTTAATCTCTTTGTTTTTTTTTTTTTTTTCAATAGCATATATCAAATACTATTTGTTATTAACATCTGAAATAACGGCAAAATTTATGAAATTGAATTTAAATTTAAATTAAATTAATTAATTCAATTATTTTTATAAAATAACATTCGATAAATATAAAATTTAAATTTTAATACTTTTATTTTTTCAAATTTCAACTTTTTTAGTAATTTTTATATGTTCATTATATTGGGAATATAGCAAATTATAGAAGAGGAAATAATTGAATACATAAATTACTCCCATTTATATTAGTGGTCCACTATTTAGGTATAGTTGTTGGCAATTTAAATCTCTAGAAGGTGATATCATTTGATTAAAGATTTTATCAAAGCTGGAAAAGAAAAAAAAAAAAAAACAAGATAAGTATAAGCCCATTTGTATTAGAAAAAGATAAGAAAAAAATAAGTTAAAAAAAAAGGTCTATTTCTTTATAGCACTTTGATGGAGGAAGGAACTGTAACATTGGAAAATTGAAAAGAAATATATGGTGGTGAATGGTTTTTCTGTCATGGTCGGCATTGAGAAATGATGCAATATAAACGATTTGATGAAGTTTATTGACTTTTAAGTGAAAACATTATTGAAAAAAAATTGAAGATTTCTTGTTAGAGAATAATGAAATGACTGTCAATATCAGCCAGAAGAATTTATTTTTTACCTTCTTTTTTCACCAAAAGTGAGTATATCATTCGGCTTGCTCATTAATTTACCAATCTAATTGTAACTTTTTTTAAAACTTAACCGTTGCTTTGAATTTTACCTTTATTATATCCTCACCACAACAGTTTCTATTTATTTACAATATAATTGTTACATACCTAACATTAGAATTCCATTATTATTAGTATAAGAATTAAAAGACATATAATTGCTTTTATTCGAAATAATAATAATAATTTAACCAATTAAAATTTTAAATGTTATATGATTTTGATTATGAATTCATCAAATAATAATAATAATAATAGTAATAAATACATTTTACTCAAAAATCTGAATTGCACTTTGGTCGTGGGCAAATAAGAGCATACAAAAGATACTTTGGATTTCATGGGATTGTGGTTATGTTGTCTCCCTCTTTGATCATTTACAACAGTAGATCAGGACTGTTGTTTTTTGGGATCCCTAGGAATTCTTGTCCCAAAAGAAGGAAAGAAAAAAAGATAATGGCCGTTGTTATTCTTTTATCAATTACGCAATAAGTGATAGCCAATCCCCATTAATGAACAACGGAAAAAGAAAATAGACCCCAACATCTCTGTAATTTCTTTTACCTTCCCTGTCCATCAATGGAAGAAAAGAAAGCTATAGACGTTGCAATAAGCATCTCTTAACTCATTTACATCACCGAAAGTGGGTCACAAGATCACAGATTTACCGGTCAGGATCTGATCTCACAAACTTCATTTGTTATCACAGCATTGATTGATAGTAGAAACTTAAAAAACAAAACAAAACCCAAAGTGAAGAAAGATTCATATGAGTAAAAAATCAGAAACAAGGGAACTCTAAAAAATTTGTTTGTGAGAAAAGAGGTGAGTTTGACGAAGAGTAAGGCGGAAGTGTGAATTAAGATATGCAGTTTTTAGCAAAGGGTCCATTCATACGAAAGTCGGTGACTAAAAATGAAGGTGTAACGTGGGTTGGGATTTGAGAGAATTGATAAAAGACACTGTTACATGACAGAGAAAAAAGCCAAACAGTTGACTTGTTTAACAGTTCGGTAAGGATAAAAAAGTAAGAACATCCACTTGCCAGTTACCGTTTCCTTTAACAAGACCCCAACTTTTTTTTTGGTCATTAATTATCAGACAGTAAATGCGCCAGCTCAGTTTCTTCTATTGCAGAGTAGTATATATATAATTGTACTATAATAGATATATACAATTCATTTTCTCATATCCTTGTCTTTGAGAGAGAGAGAGAGAGAGAGAGAGAGAAGAGAGGGGAAGGATTTTTAAAATCATTTTTTTGGCATCAACTATTAAGCAGTAAGGGGTTTTGTTTGCAGCAGTGATCTTTTTGTGGGGAGGATTTGGCAGGAGAAGCAAACAATATAGAGAAAGCCTAAGAGGGAAACAGAGTTATAAGAGATAAAAAGGAAAAAAAAGAAGAAAGCAAAGCAGTGATCTTTTGGGGTTTTTTTTCTATTTCTCCAATCTCCTCCTTTTTATTAATCCATTTCTTTTGTCTGTCTCTTTTATTTTGTTTTTGTTCATCACAAATCCATTTCCATGCTCAGTCGATTTCTTCCCCTTCTCTATCAAACCAGATTCTTGCTTATAGACTGAAATCCCCCTTCCCCACTATAGAAAAGATTAAACTGAAACAGAGAAAGTTTTCAAAATGGTGACTGGTTGGAGAAGAGCTTTTTGCACTTCCATTCCCAAGAAACAAGACAGTCCAGTTTTACCAGAAAAACAACAGCAACAACAGCAAAGTAATAGCAGCAAGAGTCCAAGATTTACCTCAAAGTTTGGGTTTTTCTCCAACCCATCAACGCCAAGATTACAATCTCAACCTGTTTCAAGCCCAAGTCTTCGTTGCCGAACCACTTCCACCCCAACTTCTTCACTTCCCAATAGCCCCAAGCTCCATTGCAAAACATCCCATTTCTCCAATCCTTCTTCCCCTAAATCCCCTTCCAGTTTCTCCCTCCTTAAAGCCACTCTCCGCCTCTCCAAAGTAAGCTTCTTTTTTCATTTCTTTCAAGTCTTTTTTATTAAAAAAACTGTCCTTTTAAGTAGTTGTCTTTTTTATTTTTTCAGGGTGGTCAATGTGGAATCTGTTTACAGAGCGTGAAAACAGGCCAAGGAACGGCGATTTTCACGGCGGAGTGTTCCCATTCCTTTCATTTCCCTTGCGTCGCCGCCCATATAAAAAAGCAACAATTACTGAATTGCCCCGTCTGTTCCACCACCTGGAAAGAGCTCCCTCTACTCTCCCTTCAACAAACTGAACAACCTAATAAAACATCTGTCAAGAACATCAAAACGAAGTCATTTCGAGTCTATAACGACGATGAACCATTGGCCTCCCCTGTTTCTCTTTCTCAGTTTAATCCCATTCTCGAATCGGAAGAAACCGAAAACGACGACGTAGAAGAGGAATTCCAAGGGTTTTTTGTTACTCCGAGGATTGGTAAAGAAATTGGAATTAATGAAAGAAATGTGGACGTTAGGTTGTCACAAGAGGCGGCGATGTTGGCAGTTGGGAGGAGTTATGAAAATTACGTGGTGGTTATGAAAGTGCACGCGCCAACGGTGACGCGTGGGTTGAAGAGGGCTCCGATTGATTTGGTCACGGTGTTGGATGTTAGCGGGAGTGGGATGCGGTTGCAGATGGTGAAACGCGCGATAAGGTTGGTTATCTCTTTGCTTAACGAAACGGACCGTTTATCGATCGTGGTTTTTTCGTCGAGCTCGAAACGGTTGTTGCCGTTGAAAAGGATGAGTTCCAACGGACGGAGATCTGCAAGAAGGATTGTGGACGCACTGGGAAGCAACGGGCAAGGGATGAGTGTCAATGATGCGCTTAAAAAGGCGGCCAAAGTTTTGGAAGATCGCAGAGAGAAAAACGCTGTTGCCAGCATCATGATCGTATCTGACGGTCAGGATCAACAGTCCCAAACGATTTCTACCAATCAGAACCTTCCAGTTGTTTCGACCAGGCGCCTGGCAACGCATTCAGAAATCTCTGTGCACTCCATCGGTTTTGGCACATGTACTCACGCTCCAAACGATGACGCGTTTTGCAAAATCGTGAACGGTCTTTTAAGCGTGGTGGTTCAGGATGTGAGGCTCCAACTGGGATTCGTATCCGGGTCAGCCCCAGCCGAGATTTCATCGGTCTATTCATTGACGACCCGACCAGCTTTAGTCGGATCGAATTCGGTGCGGGTCGGGGATTTGCACTCTAACGAGGAGAGAGAATTATTGGTGGAACTGAAAGTACCCGTATCTACGAGTGGATCCCACAGGGTGATGTCCGTACGATCCTCTTATAGAGATCCATTTACTCAGGAGATGGTCTACTCGAGGGATCAAAGCCTGTTAATACCTCGGCTGCCGCAGTCCGTACGATCATCTTCTCACAGCATTGGACGGTTGAGGAACCTCCACATCAGCATACGTGCCGTGGCGGAGTCTCGTCGGTTGATGGAGCGGAACGATTTATTGGGGGCGCACCATTTGCTTACATCGGCTCGAGTTTTGTTGATGCAATCCGGTTCGAGTTCGGCCGAAGAATTTATTCGCGGGTTAGAAATTGAGTTAGCCGAGTTGAACCGGCGGCGCCAGAGACAAAGGGTAAATAATAATGGTCAGGTGGAGGAAAAGGCTGAGCTGTTAACGCCGACGTCAGCTTGGAGAGCAGCGGAGAGATTGGCTAAAGTGGCGATTATGAGGAAGCATATGAATAGAGTTAGCGATTTGCACGGCTTTGAAAATGCCAGATTTTAGTTTTTTTTTTTATTTCTATTTTTATCCCACTATTTTGTAGCACAAAACAATTAGTAGTATAAATTTATAAATAAATAAAAAATAGAGGTGAAGATATTTTATTTTTATTTTTATGATTTACTAAGTGGGACCAAGAATAAGGGGAGGGATAACGAGGACAAAGAGTACCCGACGGCTAGGCCCTTTCTGCAGACGAAAGGAACGGATAGTGAGATGAGAGTGAACCCACTTCCGCTTTTGGTCGAGTTCAAGCTCTCTCTTTGCTTGTCTTTATTCTCAATTTTTATAGTTTTAAAATAACATTTTAAGAAAGAATCGGAAAATATTACAAAATTCTAATGAGTAAAACGGAGGAATTTGTTTTTTTTTTTTCTTAACCATAAATGTATGATTGTTCGGTTGGTGGGTCAAATCAAAAGAATGTACAAAATTTTGTAATGTAGCTGCAAAATGATAAGATGGATAAAGGGCTCTTTTCTTTGTAGTGTTTTTATTATGTGAGCTGTGAATGGTTTTTGGTGATAGGAAAAAGCCAAATGGTTTTTTTGGATTGTTTGATGGGAAAATTCATTTGTTTTTCCTTTTCTTTAGGTAGGAAAGGGTCATGAATTTTTGTTAAAACTAGAAGGACTTTTTGTTTTTTTTTTATTTTTTTTATCACTTAAAATCTTTTAATCTTAATTTGCTTTTGAAAAGTGAAGATATAATCTATTGGGACTGACGCAAGTTGTTAAAGTTTAGAGTTTGAATGTATAGCGTTCAGATTTGATTTTTTATGATTTTTTATTAGTAGATAATTTGTAAGTTTGAAAAGTTTTTTATGAATTGATGGCTTATCTTAACTTTAAATAGAGGAAAATCTTCCTTATTCCTAAACTTTTTTCTAGATAAAAAAAAAGTAAAAAATGTAATGTTGTTTCATTATTGCTACTATTTCCATGGTGGGTTTTCAATTCTAGGACTCAATTCATTAGGCATTTCGACGATTGATGTATGTACAATGAATGCAAAAATAAAAAAAAAATGAATGATGATTTTGTTTTACTCTTTTTTTCTATTGTGCGCGGCTCATGTGTCCCGCACTATAAAGATTTGCTCTCTTAGTGCCCATACAAAAGAGCTCAATCATCCAATTTAGACCAATCACTAATCAAAACATTCCTAGTGCTTGGAGTGGTATAAATAAGAATGTGGATTTAGTTGATTTAAAAAAAAAAATTAATTGTGGACCAAAGCATAGTACATTACAAAATAAAAGGGGTCTACATTATTTCGAAGGCTATGAAGAAAAGGTTTGTGAAATTAGTTTCAATTATGCAAAAAGAAAGAGGTAGTTTGCTTGGTTCTCACATTGGGAGCTTCCAACAACAAAAATATTGGTAATTGGAGTTTGAAAAATCCAATTATTTTTTTCAAAATTAGGTTGGTATGTAAATTATCTCAATCGAATATTTGATTTAATAATTAATATATATTTATTTTTACTCAAATATTTGAATTCAAATAAATAAAAACTCTTCACTTGTTATTAATATAACAAATCAATATTGTTGAATTACGCATAAAAAGAGAAAGATGGTAAAAATAAAATTTTTTGTTATAATAAGTAAAGTAGAAGAGATTATTTTATCTTTAAAATCAAAATAAATCGTCAATCCATACAAAAATTTATGAATTTTTTAAAGTTTTTTAAATTTATAAATAATCTATTAATAAAAGATCGTGAGAGTTTAAATTTGAATATTTAATCGCTTACATCAATTTTATTAGTATAAGAAAATGTTTGGATAAAAAACATGAGAATAAATCTCAAGTTAAATTTAAATGATTTATTCACGTTCTTTTAAGAGTTACATTTCAATAAAATTGGAATTCGATTTCTAATATTTATATTTTTTTTTTTTTTTTTAAGGTTTGGATGCCTTTATGTAAAAATAACAAGAAAGTAGAGATGAAATAAAAAATAGTGGGAAAAGGTACAGGCAGAATCAAATTCATATTAAAAACTACCAGGAAGTTGCTTACATAGTGGGGTGGCCATAATTATGTCAGCTTCCTACAACCTAAAAAAAGACATGCACAAAAAAGAAACATCAACGATTTAAATAAAATAAAAACATAAATAAATTCAATAAAGAGGACAGGACAACTCTCCTTGCTGTCATAATATAAGGTATAGAAAAAAAAAAAAGAGAAAAGGGGGCTCTGCCTCGTAATAATCATCAATATTACGACGGGCTAGCCGTTTCCACAACACCATAATTGAATCCATAAATTGACATGCGATTTTTTTTTAAAAGGAACCCATTTATTTCGAGTTTTACCCTTTTCCATAATTCCCATTCATTGAATTCAATATGCCGTTGAGTTCAAGTTTGGAGATGAGTGAAATTTAGATGAATTTTCTTGTTTAGATCAAAATTTTTAATTTATTTTTAAATTATATACATTTCGTTTCAATTTGTTTGTTTTGTATAAACTTTTATAGAATTAATTTTTTTATTTTAATATATTTAATATTAAATTATTTTTTATAAAATTAAAATTTCATAAATTTTAATGTTAAAAAGTAAAAAAAAAAACATAAAAAATAATTTTAAAATATAAAAAATAAAAATTTTAGATGATAAAAAAAAACATAATATTAAGACATCTAAAAAATATATGAACAAAAAAAGTTCTCAAACATTTATTGTTTAAAATAGTTTGGTATAATTGAATTCATCGTATCATTAGTTGAATATAAATATAAATTTTAATAAAATTTATTTAATATAAAATTTTTATTAAAATTAATTTTTTTAATCACAATAATAATAAAATTTTTTAATCATTTTTATAATAATAATAATAATTATTATTTTTAATCTTGTTGAAATAAATTTTATTATCCACCCAAATGGAGTCGTAGTCTCGTTAGTCTTATCTTTAAAGAAGTAGAAACTGATGACATTGTTGAAATAAAACATACATGGACCACATATAATAATGAAAATCACCTTAGTTTTCAAATAAAAAATCTTGAACATCTCTATCCTAAAGTAAAGCAGTAACTGATCACATGGCTAAGCTAGAATTATTGTTTTTATTTTATTTTACTTGGATCCAACCCGTTTTTTGTGAATGTAAAAGAATACTAATAATAATAATAGAAGGTTTGACGTTAGCATGAATTTGGAAAAGTATTTTTTTTTTTTGAAGTAATGTTAAAGTGATTTTTTTTTTTGAAGTTAATGTTAAGTTTGAATTTTATATGTAATATGATTAAATTTATTATATCATCAATTAAATTCAAATACAAATTTTAATAAAATTTATTCAGTATAAATTTTTTATTAAAATTTTTTTAATTATAATTACAATAATTATTATTATTTTTAATTTTATCAAAATTAATCTCATAATCCATTAAAACAGAGCTTAAATGAATAATAGTATATAGGTAAGGCACTGATGAAATTATATATTGATGAGATTTTAACAAAAGAGTAAGGATTTAAATGAATTTTTATTGTATGGTTTCTAAGGCCAAATTTATCATTGTGGCTATAGGAGAGAGTGACAAGAAACTTAAGCTTAAAAAGGGTTGTTTACTGATCATCAAAGGCTTTTTTCATCTTCTTAGGATCTTTCCTGTGGCTTTTTGGGGTAGCTTTGATTCCCTTAAATTGCGCAAAAACTTTTTTAAGCTTTTTGAGGTACTACTCACTACTCATGAATGCTTACCATTTATTTGTTTTTTTTTTTTTATTATATTTTAATTGGGTTCTTTTGATTTGTGCATTTGGATTCTGGAAAGTGCTCTACTTGTATTTATTAACATAGTAATAATATAAAAATTAACCAAGTCCCAATAAAGAGTCAAAGAGATAACCTCTCTCTTCTTTCCTTTTCATTACTCCATTTTTTTTATTTAAATTGTAATACATGAGCTTTGCTTTGGTTTTTTTTTTTTCAGATGTTTTACTTTTTTTTTTATCATTTGTTTTTATTAAAAGAGTAAACGGTACATGTTTATCAATATCGTTAAAAAATTTTAAATTATTATAAATTGATAATATTTAATTTTTATTCATATAAAATAAAACGTTTAATTTTAAATTAAATAATCATCAAATTATTTAATCAAATTTCAACACATACATTTTTTATATTCTTACTAATACGTTCATAGGCCTATAGGAATGACCTGATGGGCATTTCAACCAGTTGACCTTGAGGCCCATTTGAAATGACGGCTATCTCCAGTAAAGAAAAACTCAATAGCCTTTTAGAGTAAGGGCAGAGAAAGCCCCCTGCAACAAAATAGCCTAGCATATATGCCACAGTCTAGCCCACAACTAGCTTCCCTATTGTTTTAGGGCAGAAACAAGTTGGTTTCGTTTACCTGCATGAATGTGGAAAGAATTTCTATTTACAACAAGTTCATCAACAAACACGACACCATTACTGACCAGCTCCGCCACCATCAAACCCATTTCTAGTTCTACACATTTTCGATTCAGTCTAAAGGAAACAGTTTTTAACACAACCATGGACATATTTGGGTATACATCAGAAATTCAGCTGCCTGCACTGTGCCGCATCGATATCGGATGGGCAATATGGGCACTTGAAAGTTTTTGAGCCATTCTTTGACATCTTGTTAATAGACTGTTTGCAGAGCACATGACCACATGACATCAGCATTGGCGGGTTATCATCGGTTGATTGCTCTTTAGAAACAGGGCACACAAATACAGAATGGAATTGAAACTCTTTATCCAACTCCACTGGCACAGGCAACTGCTTCATTGATTGCCATTCCTGCTTCTTCCAAGACATGACAGTCATAAACTTTACAAGAGGTGGCAACACTTGCACTCCTGCTGCTATTGTAACACTTAATGGGCTCTCATATGATTGCCCCAGAAGATTGCAGAACTGCCTGGTGAGCTCCTCAGCTACTATATCCCAATTGGTTGGTGACAATAAGTGAGTATATGGGGAATCGTGAAGTCTATCAGAATACAAGAGACATCCCATGAGCTTCTGGATTTCGGCCATATGGTTTCCAGCAAACGTAGCAAAGTTAGTTCGTGCATACATGAGTGCTTCATCTCTGCTTTCCTTTTGTAGTATTTTCACAAACTGCAAATGATGGAGTCTCAGCAGAAGGTCCGAACCATTTTCTTTCAGTTTATTAGAGTTCGTGGCTGCCCATTTAAGGGCAGGCTCAAGGTTCCTACTCCTCATGGCTTCTAGTATTTGATACATTTCCAGGAAAGGTGATTTCATAGCAGCAGCCTCCTCTGCATCCCCAGCCTCAGTTACGAAACAATCACCAACATCGAACATCCCCTGCCGATAGAAATGGCTGGCAATTATTTGGTTAACCGTATGGGAATCAAACTCAATATTTCGATAAGCCATGGATATATCAGGATTAAGGGCTTTCTCAAGAGCTTTTGGATACTTGCTGAGCACTATGTTGAGTTCCTTCTGTGTGCCTTCTAGCTGACTGAGTGGAGCAATTTCATGAAACTTTTTCTTCAGTTCAGCAAGTACAGATTTATAATCAAGGGTGGTGGACTGCATCACCTCTATTGTCTTCTCGATTTCTTGAACAATCTGGTCCATAACTTCCTGGGTTTTAGAACACGACAGCTTTTGCTTTTTTGCAACACGATCAAATGCATCCTTCAGGCTATTCAACTCCATTTTCAGTTCTATTCACTGTATAAGTTGTTATATTTAATATTGCTACAAGAGCACCTGAAAAAAGGAAAAAAAAAATCCTATCAGTTAATATTCTACTTTCGAAGAACTTCCATCCATGTGCAAAAAAAAAAAACAGAAAAACCATCAAGACCTAAAATCTGCAGCCAATATATTCACAAATGCAACCCATGCCAAAACGGCAAGGGCATCAACAGCATAAAAGATAGGTAAAGCATATGTTCCACTGAACTCAGGAAAATGAGGAAAATGCGTAATCAATGGGAGGAAAGATCAGTGTACATTTGTATAATTCCCCATTTGGGTTATAACACAGTGCATTGATGTATAGTTTTCATTTGGGTTATAATCTCAAATGCACCAGAAAAGATTGTCGAGACAACAAATTCATCATCTAGAGGAAAGATTTGTTGGGGATAGTTACCAATAACCTTATACTAATAGAACCTAAATGCTGCTGGCCAGTGGTCCATCAATTTTGTAGCTGCCAATAACAAAGGAACAACTGTTTAATCTTATAGAAATTCAAGTAGTTACAACATGTGATAAACTAATTTAGAAAATGCCTCAAAAATAAAAATGATTGAATAAAATCCAAAACTAGTAAGAAGGGTCAATTTATACACATTCAACAAATCATGGCTAAACCATCCATCCAACACCAACAAGCTATATTTCGGTACACTACATATAGGATCCAGTTCTTCGGCTTTGTAGACTTCTTGTTGTCACTTGATAGTTTTCCCAATGACAATCTGCAATTTAATATGTTAAAAGATTGATTTAAATTGCTATGCAATTTAAACTTCTCTCTAATCTGTCCTTGTACATTCAATTTCTTCCATACTGCATTATTTGTAGTATCTAGAAATAGATTCTACAAACTCAACACACTGGAGATCGTTCCTGATAGATAATAGGCTGCTAATAAATCAATCAACAGTCCATTCAATTTAAACCTATGTGCAAAACATCATATTTGTGTTTAATCATAGGAATTCTAGAAAAAAATGATCACACAGAATTGGCAAAGAATGACCTCAGACACCAACTTTATAGCTTCAAGACTGTAAGCGACTACATGCTCAATCAGCATCTACAATTAAATAGGAGAAGAAAATGAAAGCTTTATAACAATAAGAATAGTCTTAATCACTTAAAAGAGTTTTTAGTCTATTAATTGAACATCTCTTTTCACAAAACTAGATGCATAGCTTTGACACAAGGAAACTGCATGTGCTAACAAAGTGCTTGAATCGATTATAGATGACATGACTGCAGCAGCAGGCTAACAGATCCTGATTATCCAACGCACATGCAGAAAAAATAAAATATTACCAGATACATTGTAAGTCTTGTGTAACCACAAACTCTATTCAAATTTAGGAGAAAGTTTGGCTAGACTTCAATAAGATTGACAATGTTTTACAGGACTGAATCTTGGGGTACAAAACAAATGAGTGCGACTGAGATGAGAATGCTACATTAGATGCCTGGACATGTAAAAATAAAACTAGGAATACACATATAAAGGAAAAGATGGAGGTTGCAAACATTGAGTACAAAATGAGGAAAACTCATTTAAGGTTATTTGGATATAAAGATTTAGAAATACCCCTGGGGGAAGGTGTGATTTAAAAGAAGATACCAATGTCAAGAAAAGGAATGGAGACCAAGGATGCAGATAGAAACTACAAAAAATCAACTTCACTTTCACTGAGCTTACTTAAAACATAGTTTTGAAAAAGTATAGTGGTGATACATAAACAGCATAGCCAATCCGACATACATGTAGGGAAAAAAAGATTAGTTTTTTAATGTTGCCGTTGTTTTGAAAAGGGAAACAAAAGAAATTCAACCATGATATATATTCTGTATGAACTATTTTGACCTTTAAAGGAAGTCGACACGCAAGGGAGGGGGCATAACTAATCTGATTCTCAGATAAACAAATTAATATCCACTTTCAAAAAGAATGATCTACAGGTTTGCATTGGATATAAGATTGGCAAAATAAGTTAAAGATATCACAAAAATTAATGAATTCAAAGTATTCTTCCATTATATGAACTTCAAATGAACCAAAGCTTATAATAATCAAAATTATAACTCAATATCAACAATCAGTTTTAAATTATAACTCAAAAAATAAATCAAAATTTAAACCAAAAAAGAAGAAAGAAAAACAGCCAACCACAATAGAAACAGATTAATCTGCAATTACCAATCTTAAGCTTCCGCAAGTAAAAGTGAGAAAGCAAATGATTCCTGCACCAAAATGAATAATCAAAATTCAGTGTTCAAAATCAATCTGAAAATTACAACACGGATTTCATTCAATGCAAGATTCGCAGCTACAAATTTAACATTACAATATAAAATATTTGAGCTAGAACAGTCCATTAATATATAAATCGCATTATTATCGAAAATATAACTTAAAAAAAAATGATGCACCTTAACTAAATCAACAGTTTAATCGAACGAAGAAAAAATTAAGCGCGATTGAAATGAATTAGAGTGGCAAATCAGTCACAGAAACTAAAGCGCCAAAGATCAAAAACAAAGAACAACGATAAATTCATAATAATTTCATATTGGTAAACGAGATTGAAGAAAAATGAAGGACAAAAAAAGAAACGAAAATTAAAAAAAAAAATCAAATATTGGATTTAAAAAGAAAAGAATTGAAATTCGGATATAGAGTTTTATTTTTAAAAAATGAAAGAGAAGACCGTACGGATTTGCGGAGGAGGCGAATCAGTGAGGGGAAACCTCGGAGGGAGGAGCAAGCATGGGATGATTGAGTGGAATGAAATGGCCAAAAAGGGCTTCGCGGTTTTATGTTATTTCCGTCCTACCCCTGTTCAATGATGGGGGTATTTAGGGAAATTGAGATTGGCTGACCGGATCAAGGAATCTTGCGGTGGGCCATGGTTGGTCCATTAATCATTGTTGATTAGATTTGATTCTGATCCGTCACTTGGTTAATTAAACAGAAAATGAAATTAAATGTAAAACAATTGGCAAATTGTTTGGTTCATTAATCAAATTGTTTTGCATATCCTTTAATTAACCATATATTTATATTGATAATCTCGAAAGTTATATGATTTTCATATTTTAATTCATATTCTTTTATATTTAATAATTATAATTTAAAAATATCAATAACATATTTTAAAAAATATACATTCACGTGAGATACAAATGATCATATATTAATTTAATTTAAACGATCAAAATGTTACAGAAAACAAGAAATGCTACTGTTAACATAAATATTCAGTAAGATACAACACCAGGAGCTCTTAAATTCATCGGTTGGAGGCCTCCTTTTTGCTAGCTCATCTGATTCATCTAGCTTATTTAGTATACTGTTCTGTTCAGCCTACTGGAGCTTCCTGATGCAGTTATCTAATGTCCATTGAGTGAGAACCTGTTATCGCTGACCAACCGGAAATATTCTTCCTCCCCGTAAACTTTCCTGAAGCATCAGATGGAGGCATAAGCTCAAAAACTGAATTAAACTAGGATCATACATACATACATAAACTGACGGAATTATGAGAATTCTTTTCAAGTAATGAGATTTAATGATGAGCAACATAGGCTCTCATAATCAGAAAATTTAAATATACTTTTCCTGCATTTTGGCAAGTCAACCCCATTAAAAAACTTTTAAATCAGGTTACACACACACACACACACACACCTAGGCTGGAGAGAAAGAATGGTGAATGAGTGGTTTGTTGTTAACAAGAAAAACAGTACAAGCAGGCAGCAGATTTTCACTGTCTAATATCACAAAGGTTAATTCATTGCAGATATATATTTTAAAGTGGTTTAGCCAGGGAAGGATGTGAATGTTATGCTCCATGGAGATGGGAAAGTGACATGATTAAAGCAAGATGAGCAACCAAAGTGAAGATTAAATCTATAAACAGACTTACGCTAGATCTGCCAAATTTTCTGACTTGATCAAAGCTTTTCCCTCTGGGAGTTCAAGGCAGGAGTAATGCGTTATCATCTCCTTTAATGTATGCTTTGTGCTTTTAACGTCATTATCCCATAATATGCTCTGAAATAAGAGGTCCAAAAAATTGTAAACTCAATAACTCAGGCAAGTCCGATCCAGTACCAAAATCTGACACTTATCCAGCATGGCAGAAATCATAGCCACAAAATTTTGAAGAAATTTTCATTAATGACCAAAATGAATTACTTTATTCATAAACATTACTCTCAACAAGCATAGGTTTATTCCAATAATTTTCGTTCTTCTCTATTTAATACCATGTTTCTTTTTCCTAAGATTGAGATCTATAAACTTAAATAATTAACACTTAAAAACACATTCCTGTCACATTGGAATAGATTCAAGAAAGAATATTGCCATTCTTTCACAAAGGAACAGCGGTGCACAATTTCAAGTTCTATTAAAGTTGGCCAGTCAGGAGAAACCTACCTTTCTAACATACTCTCTCTTCACATCTTCCCAATGTATTTTACCTTTGGGAGAGAAAATTGAAGCATTCCAGAGAGCACCTCTTGCAACCATAACTGCCGAAGCACCTTAAAGAAGAACATTATCAAATGACAAATATCAGGACATAACATAAAGCATATATGGAAGTCGAAGGACTTGGAAGCTGAGTAAATGCATAAAATTTAAAACAGTATGGAACCCAGTAGGAACCATTTATTTGGAGATCTTGCCATGTAAGGGTCAAATACTTTGGCAGTGCTTCAGGCAAAGAGGACATAATACAAATGGTAAAAGACTGTCTTTTAACTACTTAACAGACCATTTTAAAACTTTGAAGAACAGAAACATATCTAAACATATCATAGAAAACCAAAAAGAGCATCTTTTAGCTACCTGTTGCAACTTTAATGCGTTCAAAATCATCATATTCAAAAACATCACCATTTGCAATAACTGGAATAGATAATGCTGATACAATATCAGCAATCTCATTCCACTTTGCTGGATCCCTAGGCCTATCTGCAACTTTTCTGCAATTTTTACAAGAAAAATACACTGAACCATTAAGAAAACAAATAAAGAAATTATAAATCTACCAAACTTTTGAAGAGTAAAACTAAAACCATAAAAGATGGAAGCACAGAAAATGATCCCGTATGGTGTCCTTAATTTGGTCCCTAGTTGATGTCAAAACAATCTTTTATGTTTTAGACAACATCTAAAGATGATTAGGTAATAAGTTCTATCAGCCTCTATCTAATTTATGCAATGAAACAAAAACCTCTTACATTATTTTTTCAGAGAGAACTGAGGACTTTACTTGTTTACTTTGTTGATACACTTTATGTACAGTAGATCACATGCTTATCAAGTATGATTGAAAGTCTACCAGTGCATTGCATGCTCATATATCCAACCACAAAAGTTTATTGGGGAAACTATAGATATGGTCGCTTTAATGCTATTTTCACTTGCTATTATGGTGTGTATAAGCAATCAGACACCCTATTCAATTGCTTACAGTTTAATTGCTCTTTTGATATCTTGACTTGCTTCTTTCTTATCTTAAATCCATATATGGGCAGTAAATACCCTTTTCCATTCCTAAATCAGTTACTGGTTAACCAAATAAATATTCCAGTGGCACCAGCAATGCTCATTTGGCAATTGGCACCATCCTTGTAAAGCTCTTGTCCCACCTACTTTATAACAATCGAGTTTAGTAACAGTCCTATTCTGAAGTTAGTCTATTTGGCATTACAGTTTAGCTCCCAAATTCTCATTCATTGGCCTGAGACTCAAGCCCGTAACTTCTCAAAAACAGCTCCAGGGTTAATCCAACAAAGTTTAGATTTCACAATTTTCAAAAAGTAGAAGAAATAACTAGCATAGATATTTCAGTAACTCAAGTACATAACATTACATACTTGCTCCTTTTCAAACAGATGAAACAGTTATCTATTACGACTAACGAATACAAAAGGCATTAACTTCAATCTAATTGATTGGCATATTGCAGTCACGCCAAAAGTCATAAGGGTCTCAACAAAGAAAATGTCTAGATCTAAAGTTACCTTCCATGGACAGCAAGAGCAGAAACACCAGTTTTCTCAATTCTCCGTGCAAGTTCTACCGTATCCTGGGATGACTTTAAAAGTCGAATCTTGCATGTTACTGGTGTGTCCATGTTCCTCCTTAAAGTTGTCAATATCTGAATTAGCAAAAAGATAATGTGAAGGGTTAAGGTTTAACCACAGACATCAGCAAGGAATTTAAAGGAATTTGCCAATAATATGCAGCACATACATCATGTATGAGATCAGGCTTCGTTAACAAAGCAGCACCCATGCCCCCACTCACAGAAAATGACTTGGGGCAACCCATATTGATATCTACTGCAGCGACATCTTTACACCTACAAAATGATATAAAAGTTTAAGAGTTGATTTATATGAAATTTATTGCCAGTATCATTAAAAATGGAATAATAATTTGCTTAAATAATCAGATATTTGTCACATAAGTAGTTGGAAAGGAGCAATGATCAAATTATCATGATGACTTAGATTTTTAAAAAAAAATGAGAAAACCCTTTTACATGAACCATGCATTTAATAAATCAATCATCTGTTGTCATGATAACTAAGAGTTTTCAGGAGCACAACACATTGCAGTACCAAAAACAAACTAACCATTCGCCGTCCAGATGAATTTATTCTTCATAAATTCAATTGAGTCGATAAAGTGGGTAGATTCCAACTTCAACCCTTGTCTATGTAATTATGGAGTAACATAAACCCTTTATTGATTCCAATTAACCTATAGTTCTAGCCATCTTCTTGTATGCTGAAGAAAACTCTTAACAGGAAAATTGCATAAGAAACAAAAAAGGAAGTAATTTGATGATAACAATTGATTCATCAGAATTCAACACAACAAAAAGGTCATTATCCAGATTATTGTATCATTTACATAACTAATAGTACTTGACTTGAAGCAAAAAATACCATGAGTAAAAGGATGATGCAAACAAACAAAAGCCCAGAGGCATCATTGCAACTTTATGAAAATGAGTAAAAAAATGCCATCGGAATAAACTTACACTATTTGAGCAGCCTTTAGAGCTCTCACAGCATCAGAAGTGCCCATTTGAAATACTAACCGATTTTTTTCTTGATTGCAGGTTCTGAATACAACATTATCGGTTCCCTTCTCAACAAAATCAGTTGACCCAATATATTCTGAAAAAAAAAAAAGAAAAAAGAATGGAAATAGAAACAGACATGAGTGTTTCAAAATCAGCATTTCAATCAGGACAAAGACACTACACACTGCACATAATATCATAGCTCTGTTCTGCTAACTTCACAAGATAGAACATTAAAACACAATGCTATTCTCCTTCCATTCCTCTGTCGCATTTTCATTTCATTGACCCTATTTGACTTTCATGCAATTTAAGAAATTGGTGTTCCATGGTTTTTATTTATTTGTTTTTTATAAAATTGATATTCTAATTATTTCCAAAAATTAAAAGCAAGTTCATGGCCATGAAACTAAAGCTAAATTTAACGTAAAAAAGTCATAAAATTTTTGTACCAACAGAATTATCCAGCATAGTTTCCAAAAACAAATGAAATTGAAGCAAAAAATGTGTACTTACCATTAACTACACGCTCACATTTGATCATTTTATGATCAATAATTTCCTCGGCGTAGGTAATATCAGCACCGTAATCAGCAGCAAGTAATCTAAACGGCAGCGTTCCCTGGATAAACAGAAAAGAAAAAGGCACGATTATAGATGGAAATTTCGAATAAGGAAAAAAAGAGAGAGTATAACAGAGGAAGAAAGGGAGGGTATGGAAGTTCAATTTACTTACGACTCGAACCATGGGAGCGAGAACGAGCTTGTTCTCGTACTCCATTGTTACTGCTTCAGAGTTTCCTCTAGAGATGAGAAGGAAAGCCACAAAACGCAGCGCTAAATGCTGTGAAACGATTTTAAATGGGGAATGAAAAAAAAAAGAAAAAGTACCATTCATTCAAAGTTTCAAAGGGAAAAGCGCGTTGAAAGTTGGGATGGCTATTTGTCCCTTTTGTTACGAAAATTGGCCCGCTTTAAGGGCCAACAAACAGCATCAGAATGCTTGAAGAATTGGGCTGCCTAGAAGTCAACCCTGGAAAAATAGGCCCATTCGAACCTATAATCTCCGTGAGAGTTGCAGCGGCCATAGTTTTAACGGGTTTAAAGCTTAGTCAAGGATGATTTTTTTATTTAAATATATTTTATTTATATAAATCCAAAATATTATTTATGATGATAATAATTCACATTTTTAAGATACAATTTTTTTTTTAACATGTGATATTGGGCTATATACAGGAGGTAACCATATTGTATCAGTACCGTACCGGTTTTGACCAAAACTGATACATAATGTGTCGTTTTCGTACCGACCCTATACTAGTCAAATTGGACTGTATTGGTCATTCTGGTCCGTACCAATCATTTTGGCCGACACAAATTTTTGCTTTTTTTTTTTTATTTAATTATTTATTTTATTTTTTAATCAATTCTTAATGCGATGTTGCTTTCTCTTCATGATATTTTTTTTCATAATTTCATTCAAAAATAATATTGAAAGATTAATTTTTATTATGTACGGATATTGGTAATGATTAAGAGATGTTGCGTGACACTTCCTTTTTTTTTTTCTTTTTTTTGCTAATTTTTTATATTCAATAAATAATTTTTTATAAATTTTATTTTTAAAAAATAAAACTCACTTTAGACCAATTTTTTTTATCTTTTTTATCCGTACATGGCAAAAGGAGTGTCACATGATTCTTTTTTTTGTTTTCTTTTTTTTTAATTTTTTTGTCTTTTTTATATTTAGTAAATTTTTTAAAGATTTTTTTATGATAAAAATATTATATTTATAAATAATTAAAATAAAATCTATGCATTCATCAATCCATTATATAAATTTAATTATTTTTACTTTTATTTTACTTTCATTCAATATGTTAAAGTTACATTTCATGTTTCTTTCCTTTTAAAAAATTTTTTACTCTTTTTTTTTTGCAATTTCTTTTTTTTTAATTATATAAAATTAAAAAAAAAATCAATTGAGTTATCTAAGTGGCACCATAATTTGGATTTTTTGTCATTTCATTGTTTTATTTTTTTAATTATATAATTTATGTAACAAAAATAATTTATGGATAGACAAAACAATTCGTATCTGATAAATTTCAATCATATTCAATTCAATTTAATAATAAATAATTTTTTTATTTAAATATTATATTTAAAATAAAAAATTTTGATCTACACCAACGATGAAGCACTTTACTTAAGTATACTCATTATATTAGGCTGTTAAACAATAACTTATCATATTTATTACTATTTTATATTTATTTCATTTATTTGATATTTAAAAAGTTCAAAAATTAAATGTTTATAATTTTTAAAATTTATATTTGCATATAAACATATAAGCATACATAATTAAAGTATATTTATAGATAAATATATTTTATAAACAAAATATTAGATAATGCAAGTAAATCGAAAATAATATATCAAAACACAAAGATATCAATGCATACCAATATCACAACGAAAGCAATACACTCACCGGTATGGTTTGGGCAGCCATCTCTCATCCCATAATTTAACTTTCGTTTATTTCAATATTTGAACTAATGACCTTCACAAGGAGTCCTTTAAGCTCTGAAAGGCGAGGTGTTTTTTATTATAAATGTTTTCAAATTAAAATTGTCAACCCAAGAAGAATAGAAGTGCCATTGACATTGAAATTTAAGTTGCTTTTGATGGTAATACTTGAATTTGGCCACAAATCTAACGCAAGCCAAGATGATATTAGTAATGCATTTACTCTTATCAACATTCTCACCTACTTTTACTATTATAGTGAGTTTACTTTCAATTGCAATTGCATAAACCTAATTTTATTTTTATATATATCAAAGAAAAAAAATTTAAGATTCTTAAATCAAAACTGTTTTGACGAGTCTAAGTATATTCCGAATTATCCGAAACAAAATTAGGGCTAAAGACGAGAACTTGTCATTGTGAACTTGTTTTTAAAAGGGAATATTAACCCAAAAACTTTGTTGTTTAAACTTAATAAATTTGCTATTAAAGAATGAAAGAAAGCGAAAGAGGGTAGTAATGAAACAAACTTAAGCTAAACGAAACTTCTTCTGTTTTTTGTGAAACTTCCTTAATCCCTCCACACAATTCCGTAGACTTTCAACTTTAGATTAAGTTATAGTGCAAAAGAACAATACTTGACTAAAGAAACTTCCTCCTCAATGTTCATTGCCTTTCCTTTGTTTATTTTTGTTCAATTTTTTTTTGGTAAAAAAAAAATAAGATGAGGAGAGATTTTTCATTTTGGAGTCAAAATATCGTAAATTTTTTAAAAAATTTATATTAAATTTACGAATCGTTTATTAAAAAAGTTAATAGCAACGAGAATCAAATTTAAACTTTGCAAATAAAACATTCAATTCTTACTAATTTAATTAATTTTCATTGATTTTTTATCCAATATTATTTTATTTTATTTTTGTTTCAAATCTGTCTTTTTTTTTTTCTTTTGTGAAATTACATATACAATTACAATCCAACAATTTTTATCATAACCATTACATCCGCTAGAATTGGCCACACCCACTACACAGGTGAAAAAAAATATATTATTTCAAAATAAAATAAAATTGACACGGTATAAGGACATCTCACATTCACAATTGATTTTTAACACTGGTTTTATTATGAGAATTTGTCAGTTCAAAGTTTGAATTTCCTTTTTCTAATAAAATACTTGGTGGTTCGACCTAAAATTTACTCTCAACCAGTAAACTACCCAGAATATTACTTTTGAAGTTTAACCTGAAACCAACCTTTGGCATCCCAATTATCACGGCATTATCACCCACCTTTGATCAAACATGAGGACAACGATCTAAAAATTTACCTCAGGTCAAGATTGTGGAAGTTTTTAATATAAAAGCAGGTCAGTTTCCGACAAAAAAGATATAGTTAGATATGATAATTTATTTATTTACGTTGTATAAATTATTAAAAATTTATATTTTTACATCATATTTTATATAAAAATTATTTTTTACTGTTTATATCGATATAAAATATGAATTATATTTTTGTTGTTTAGTTAAACTTATTTTTTTAAAAATTTTAAATTATATTATTTTTATATTTTTTATTTGTATCCGTGATAATATGTGTTGTATTTCAAATTATCAGTTTTAAATATAGTTTTCAAGGAAAAAAAGTGTATAAATCTGTCAATATATCTCCTCCAAGTTTGGAACTCCCCCAGCCCTCGCTTTCTTTTGCATTTATTTCTCAAATAATCTGAAACTAACCTCCCCCTGAAGCAAACAAATCTTGACCATACCTATATCAACAAACTCATTTGAATTCATTTTCCCCAGTTGGCCCATCAATATCAAGAACATCTATTAAAGGAAAGGCAATGGGGGGTTTGCCAGTTTGCCCCTTTTAACCTCTACCACATATGCCCTCCCCTGGTTTCAATCTCCTCCTGCTAAAGTCATTATATGGGAAAGTTCCAGCCTTTATTGGTTTTCATGCTGCTTGTCATGTGAATGGATCATGTGTAACTTAGAAGGTTTTTGACCATGGAAATGGATTCTCCGGTAGAATACATCACTTTCACCGTGATCACCAAAGGGGGTGTAAGAAAATCAGGATTTGATTCGCTCCTTTTGAAATAAATTCTCATCATGGACCCCAAAAAAAGTTTGTGCAATAATTAAAAAAAAAAACCCAAATCAAATTAGATCCATAACATAAGCTTGTATCAACCATAAATCTAGCACATCAGAATACAACATCTTAACAAATTTTTAGAAAAGTAATTTGGTAGATGAAATTCATATGTCATTAGATTTTTGTCTTTTTATAATAGGATCAATAATATCTTTAAGTCTTATATGAGTTTAATGGAAACAATTTTATTTTCGATACATATGCAAAAATTAAATTTTGATTCGTAGAAGCTGAAAGTACAAGAAGAAAGTCATTCTTATTATAATTGAAATAATAATTGTAATTACACTACGAGACTTAATGGTATCATTCTAATATCTATATATTAGAATTTTAAAAATTTAAAATTATTCATTAATGATGCAATAATTAACCTTCCATCCATTCACAATTAACGATGTAAATAATATATTACTATTCGTAAGTTACTTGAGTTCGAATTTGAATAAAATTCGAATTCGACTCGATTATTATCGAGTTAAGAGTAATTCGATTTATCAATTAAATCAAATTAGAGTATTCTTATATCAGGCTTAAAAAGCTTATGAGCTTAATTGAAATTTTATATTTTAATTGATAAAATATCTCGAACTTGAGTTTGAGTTCGAGTACAAATAATCAAATTTTTATCAAATATAAAAATCAAATTTATTTTTATATGTTAATCAAACTTAATCGAACAAATTTGAGTAACTCGATTTTTATCTCGAATTAAGCTCAAACCAAAAAAATAAAATTTGATTGAATTTGAACCGAATTTTGAGTTTTGAATTTGAAGTTGAGTTTGAATTTCAATTTAATACTATATCAACTTAAATTTGATCGATTATATCCCCATTCAAAATTAAATAAAATGTATATATTAACAATAAATCAAATATAAATTATTTCCTAAATTGTATGAAACTCTTGATTTGCTTGACTTAAAATGGACGTGGATAAAAGCGTTTTACTTAGGAAATTTTTCGTGGACGAAAGGGTTTGATGGTAATGGTTACGGGCCTTATGGCTGCAATTCAGGATGTGCCCTGTCAATACTGTTTCACATAAATAAATGGACGCTTAGCCATTTCCTTTCAATGTCATCTTTATCGTTTTCTTCCGCTTTTTTCCCCCCATTTTCTATATCTTTTAAGTCTTCCAACAAAATCAAGAATAGTATCCTCAACATAAGGCAATTTCCTCAATCCCTCATGGCCAATGCCACTGCGTCATAGTGCACTAACAACCATATCGAGAGACATATTTTCACTAACAAAACATGTTTTAATAAACTCATAACCTAATTTATTGTTATTTTTTTTAGGTGTT